TTTACAACGACGAGAGATACTTTTTCATAGGAGCTTTTCAATTGACTATCTTTTTTTTGTGCAGTTTCATAAATTTTCACATTACTAACAATTTTACCTAGTACAAACTTCTTTAATTCCACAATACCGGCAACTAATATAGCTTGTAATAACTTTCAAAAGCATCCATTCAAAAGTATCCTTATTTTGCCGTCATTCACCTAATTCCTCAGAATTTATTTTCAATAGATTCGAATGACTTTTGCCAATCGATACTGGATCTTCATCTTTATAATAATAATGAATAATTCAAATTACACAGAGCAACGAAATTTGGAAAAGATAATCCTTTACTAAGAACATTCGATTTTCCTTTCAATAGACAAAATGAACAACATGATGATATGCTAATAAATAATAATATCAATTACGATTCTATTCTTAATCATGCATTAATATCTTAAACATTAAATAATATAAATCTTTCAATCTTTTCCCATAATGCGAATAAATGGTCATTGAGTGAACAATATAAAAATGATACCATTGACTTAACTACCAGGAAATATTTTACACGTTCAACTATTTCAACAACATCCGCAACCGAGACTAATGGCGTACAAGGAACATACATGTCACACTGGAAACTTCAATTCACTTATTGGAAATTTGCTTCAACTATTCAACTACTTGCGCAGAAAGGAGTTGGGGCGGGAGATGACATATCTTTAGACACACACATCACACTAGCAGGTGTGCGTGCGGCGAAAGGAGTAAGGAGGCGGGGGAGGGGGGGAGGGGCTGCCTACATACCTACACACACATATCATCACAGCTGGTGCGGGTGCCGCGAAAGGAGTTCCATCACTGACGACTCACACACATCTATACACACACATCCATACGCACACACATCATCGCAGCTGGTACGGGTGCCACAAAAGGAGTTCCATCACTGACGACTTACACACATCCATACACATACACATCCATACACACACACATCCATACACACACACATCCATACACA